CCCTGTAGTATTCTTTCATAATCAAAATTTGAAGAAGAAAAAAAGGAGTGTGTGTCAACCCAAAGCTTCCTCTTTCTTTTGAAGGTTACCACCATGATGCTGACATTCAGATCTGACCAGCAGTCTAAAGAAAACCTGCCAGTCATCTTGAATGCATCTTGTCCCTTATTTCCACTAGATCATGTCAATTCTACTCCTAAAATAGATTCATCATTCTAAAATGCAATTATAACCATATTATTCCCCTCAAAATGTTCCAGTGTTTACTATCTACACGAAGATAAACACTTCTAACTCCCTGACATGGAACATGAGGCCATAGTCACATGGCCCCTGGCTTACCTGTCTAGCTGTATCACCCACTATTTGTACACCTTGTGCATGATCTATTCTGAGCAACTTAAGAATTCCTTGACTATGCCACGATCATCCTCATCTTCCGAATCACTGAATTCTATGCCCAGAATGGCTTCCTCCCTCCCTGTAATGCTGATGAATTTCTACAATTTAACTCTTCTGGAAAGGCTTTCCTGGACTCTTAAAGCAGAATTAAGAACTTGTTTTTTTGTATTCCTACGGGTACACCTATTACAAACCTCTCCTCTAACATTTATCACACTGCTATAAGTTATTGTTTATGTGCCTGCTTTTTCTCATAGACGTGAGACCCGGGAAGGCAGGGACTGGACTATTCACATTTACACATTTGTCCCTAGCGTGCTGCACAATGCCTGCCATTGTACTTAATAAATGTCTGATGACTAGCCAACATTTTTAACATTACAAACTTACTACAGCTGGTGAGGGAACGTGAATGCTTGGGACAGATCGAGGCCGCACGTGATTGGCCAAATGGCAGAGAACAACACCATCGGTTAGAGCTGCTCCCAGATCACAAGGCAGAGACACTTTCAACCGGTGCTCGATATGCTAAAGGACAGGAAGACATGTCATAGGTTAACTGAAGACTGGTGACACAAAGGACATACTGGAGTCACAACGGAATACATTTAATTAGAAATCAAGATAAAAAGCAAGTAACTTAAGTACCACAATCCCTATTTTATCCTTCTAAGTCAGTAGGTTAGGGAGATTGATTACATAAGTATGGCAGCCAGGCCACTGTAGTGCAAAGTACCACAAGACAAATTCATTTATAATTTCCTGATTAAAAACAAAAACAAAAACCACTAGATTTTCTTTCAACTCCAAAATAAAATAAACACTATATATGATGTGTGATATGTATACGTGTACATACATGTAAATTATTATTACTGTTACAAGATTTCTTTACAACATGAGGCAGAAAAACAATTTTAAATGAGTAGGGCCAGGGATTAAGCTTTATAGAATAACCCATCTCATTTCCTTAGTAAGTAGCTGAAAAGAATTTCCTTAATAGCAAAATTTCTTTCACATTCATCACACAATGGGCAACACAGTATACAATGGGGACTTGTTTATTCTATTAAAATTTATAAGTGAATAAGTGATAGCAGGATTACGGGCTATAGCAATATCAATGAAAAAGTGTAATTCCAAGGTAATGTACATACTTTCCGCAGTTGATCTATTAATTCCAGCTCTTCTTCTCTCTGCCTTGAATTTTGTCTTGTTATGGAATCTGTAGAATCAGTGGTAGGTGCAGAAGATGAGAGCTGGGGTGAAACATGACCTAAAAAACATGAGTATGTAAGACAGAGAGGCAATTGCCAGTGCTGGAAAAATACTTCCATCTACCAGATCACAGTTTCCTTGCAAGTATAGCACTTTCTACTTCTGGATTAATTCTTTAAAAAAAGTTTTTATTCTGGAAATTTTCAAATACACACAATAATAGGGAGAACAGTATAAAAAAAAAACACAAATGTCCATTACCCATTTGGCTCAACTACTTTTGTGTGATTGATTACACCCACTTAATAATGTTTTTATTGAAAAAATAACAGAGAAAATTACAAGTCATAAACAAACAGCTCAATAATTATCATCACAAAGTGGACACAACCATTATCAACACCCAGAAGCCCCTCTCAAGCTCCCCACCCACCAGTACCCAAAGGTTACTTCTAACACCACAGGTTCTAATTAGGAACTTCCTGACTTCTAACACCACGGATTAGTTTTGTCCATTTTTGAGCTTTCAATACATGAAACCATATTTATGTATGTATGCTATTGGGTCTGCCTTCTTTTGATCAACATCATGTTTGTAAGATTTATCCATGTTATGTATATTCATTTGTTCTTTTTCATTGCTTATATGGTATCCCACTGTATAAATATACCACAGTTATTTATCCATTCTATCACTAATATTCAATTTGAGACTATTATGAATAGTGTTGCTATGACTATTTTTTGTACACACGTTTTACCATATATGTGTACATATTTTAGAAAGCAAAATTCCAAATCATAGTATGTACAAATGTTCAACATTAGATAATGTAAACACTTTTCCATACTAATTTACAATTCCACCAAACATTGTGTCTCTGATTTGATTTTAAATCTCACGGTAAACGCATCTATCAGTTAGATAAAAGTACTTATTATGGACTTCAAATGTTTGTTTCGAATTCCAGGTAAATTCTTTGGGGACCAGGCAGAAATTTATCATATTAACTAACAAACACAAGAACTAAGTAGATTTTTTAAAATTACTGACTTATTTAAGAACACAGAAAACAGCTTTTATCAACAGAAAACTCTAAGAGCTCATTACAGAGAGAAGGAACATTCTCTGAAACTCTGAAAAAGTATTTTATTTGTTCAAACACTATCACCTACTTTTAGGTGCTACTAAGAAACTTTCGAATTAAAATATATTCAGAACAAGAGTCTCCTGCTTTAATGTCAGTGAGATCACAGATAACTGCAGAGTTTAAAGCATTTTAGCAAGGTGACACCTCAAGGTAGAAGTTTAAAAGTATGTAACAGTTAATGTCATTGCATCAAGCCTCCCAGGGTCCCCTTTCAGTCACTACCTCCTACCTTTATTTGTTTCTGCCCTGACCGCTGCTCGAAAAAGGAAGCTTTCAGGGCGTTGAGGCTGGTTTCTTTGGATAGCAGCAGGAAAAGAATATGCAGCG